TTATTATTATTATTATTATTATTATTATTATTATTATTATTATTATTATTATTATTATTATTATTATATTCATTAAACCAGTGGTGGTATTCTACTGATTTGGCTTGGTTCAGCTGAACCAGTAGTAGAAAAATTGCTACCAGTGCAGCCAAACCAGTAGTAAAAAATGCTAATGGTTCAGTCAAACTGGTATTTCCGACTATTAGCTGGGCGACCATGAGCTGTGCCACATGATTTAGATTAGCTAGAAAGCAGGAAATTGTCGGATTTCTTGCTTTCTAGCTAATCTAAATCGTGCAGCACAGCTGATTCCCCCCCCCCCATTGCTTCAAAATGCATCTTTTTCCAGTGCTTCCCTGAGGTCCACTAGACCAAAAATGCAGTGCAGAGGGTGCTGCGTGCCCTCCGTGCTCCGTTTTTGCTCCCAGGAGGCTTCCCTGAGGCCCACTAGGCCAAAAATGGGGCACGTGGGGTGCTGCAAAAGAAAAAAAGTGAAAAAGGGGGAGAAAGAATGAGAAAGAAAAAAGAAAAAAAGGGAGGGAGGGGAGAAAGAATGAGAAAGAAAAAGAAAGAAATGGAGGGAGGGAAAAAGGAAAGGAAGAAAGGACCACAAACTTTGCCACTAGACCAAGGGTCTTCAAACTTGGCAAGTTTAAGACTTGTGGACTTCAACTCCCAGAATTCCTAAGCTAACATGACTAGAGGAGGAATTCTGGGAGTTGAAGTCCACAAATCTTAAAGCTGTCAAATTTGAAGACCCTGCACTAGATGCAGCTTCAGAGGATGCTTTGAAACAGCACAGCAGTCCAGGGCTGGAATGTACCTGGAGGTCATCTAGTCCAGGGGTCGCCAATCTTTTGGACCTTAGGTACCACCAAACTCATAATTTTAGATCCCAGGGACCACACCGGTTCTGTTGGCATGGCCTAATTTGTGGGTGTGGCTTGGTGGTCATGTGACTGGCTGGGCATGGCTTGTATGTAAATATTATAAATATTTATATAAATATTGAATTTTTTATTAAAAAAGAGCAACTTTTACCCAAAATCAGGCAAAGCAGGCAGATTGAGTTACTCACAGAATCATTCAGTGATCTATCTATCTGCCATCGGCTAGCTCAGTCTCTCAAATTTGCTTGCCATGAGTCTGCAATGAATTTGGTTGCAAGCAAACCTTCAGTCCTAAGGGAGGTTCGGCTGTGCTGAGCCGAAGATCAAAAGACAAGCTAGAAAGCAAGAAATCCAACCATTTCCTGCTTCCTAGCTAATCTAAATCTCCCGGCACAGAGAACAGATGATGGTTGGAAAAAGGAAAAATACCAATTTTAGCAGGCAAGCTTATTGGGTAAGGAGTGAGTGGGCGGGGAGAGTTCCCGCGGGCAATGTGGGCGGTGCAGCCTTGTGTTCCTGCACAGCCTGGATTAATTGCTTTGTGGAGGTGCTCTGGGGGTGAGATTTCTCTGTGGCCCACCAAAATTTTCTCATGGCCCACCAGTGGGCCGCGACCCACCAGTTGGCGACCACTGATCTAGTCAACCCCTCTGCTCCAGAACGTGAGTTTCTGTCTTTTGACCCCCCACAGTCACATGACCACATAGCCACACCCACAGAACCGGTAGTAAAATTTGAATCCCACCATTGCATTAAACATGAAACTCAGTTAATTGAACATTTAAAAATGTATCACAAATATTATTAACTGGCACTGATGGTTGATACAGGTTGCTGCCAGCATCCTAGATATTGACCGAGTATTTTCTTAAAATATACAAAGTTCTCAATAGCGCAGTTTTTTGTAGTTCTGCTAGTGTTATTGCAGGAAGCTGCAATTTCTTGATGTACTGTGTAAAAATTTATTATTATATTATTGTTGTTGTTGTTTTTATATGTCAGTACTTCCATAAAGTTAGATGGCTCGGGTTTACTTCTCTCCAAAGTCTTAAATACAGCAAAAAGTTGACCATGTATTAAAATGATGAATTGCAGAAAAAGTTATTTCTTGATCTTCAAATCTATATCTAATAACTCACGTTATTAACGTTTCAGTTTGAAAATGTGACTGAAGAAAACACGTTTCTTGTTTCTTCATCTAGTTATAGCTCTATAAGGAATAAGCAAACTAAGCTTAAGTTTAGTTTAAACTAATTTAGCAAATGAAACTATTCATGTTATGTTCAGAAAGCATTATTCTAATCTTTTTCTCTGTTATGATATTTCTGAAAATACTCCAATACCCCATGTTATAGATTTAGTAGCAGATGCTTGTGGGAAAGAACCTACTCCAAAAAATATTCAGCATTGAGGGGAAGGACAAAGTGAGAAATGTTTTGTTCTACACAGGAAAGAAATTCCTAGTATTAAGTGCTCCGTCAATGTATAAAACTAATTTTTAGGCAGATATATGGGTGCTAAATCATTATCTTACTCATACAAAAAATCAGGCTATATTAATTTCTATTTTGCCTCATTTTTAGGATCACAATTGTATCCTATGCTGCAGTATGTAATAGTTATATATGCACAGATATATAAATTGGTTGAATTATCTAAGAGTAAATCCTAATTAACTTAATGGGACTTACTTCTGAAAAAAGATATATAATTGTATTGTTAATGACTTTCTGTATTGTTTGACCACATCTGAAACTGATTCTAAGAATTTATCTGAAAACCCAACACTATAAGCCTCACGTTGTAGATAGAGAAATTAGGAGTGATCATGCACATTTGAAGTATTTATATATGCTTTTTTCAGAAATATTAATGAACACATTAATGTACAGAAGCCAGGACAGTAGACATGGCCGGGCTTCTCTTTATGACATACATTAATTGAACATCTGCAATGGCTAAAAACAAACTTTTAAACAGTTAACATGAATACATACTGTAGGTAACTTGTGTGCAAAGAGAAGAAAATTCTCTTCCTTCAATCTTAGAAATTTTATTTTGTTTCCCAGTTTGATGGCTGCAAGAAGGCCTTTTCTAGACTAGAAAACCTGAAGATTCATTTAAGGAGCCACACTGGAGAAAAACCTTACCTTTGCCAGCATCAAGGCTGTCATAAAGCATTCAGTAATTCCAGCGATCGAGCCAAGCATCAGAGGACGCACCTGGACACTGTAAGGGAAGAATGTGATTTTAGATAATATTTTGCTATCCTGACTGATGTCTTGCAGACATATTGTTCATTAAGTGCACATAAAATGGGGGCTTATAATGGAACCGCCTATAGAAGGGTGTTTGCACATGCTATTCAGGTTGTTTTGAAATTCAGTTCTTATAAGAAAAGAGATCATTGTCATAAGCCTTTCTTTTGTAAATCTAAGAGGCTCAGGGTGCTTAATGTATACAGTGTTTTTATACTTTAAGGTTAGTTTTGTTGTGATATAGGGCAATGGTGTCCAGTCCTCTCAACCATTTCCCTTTCACAAATCCATCAGCCTACAAACAAAGCTTTCCATATATCATGTTACAGTAGCCTTTCTCATCCTCTCCCCCCCCCCCCCCCCCCACTTAAGGAACTCTTGAAATAATTTTCAGGTCATAGGAAATCCTTGCATAAAAACATTGTATTTGCCACTCATATACATTAAACATAAAAGTTTTTTTCCACCACGACCTCTTGCAGAATCCCTCACAATTTCTCACAGAAGTCTTGGGTACATGGAGCCCCAGGTGAAAAAGACTGCATTAGGGCATCCAGATACTCCTAAAAATTCATGGCTGCTTCAAAGCCCTGCATAGGGCATTATTTGATTGTCTAAAGAGATATGCAGAAAACGAGGAGTAGATCTGAATTTTTAAAAAAGGCTACAATATACTATATTTATTAAATACATAAATATGATATAGTGCTTCCTCTCATACTTACCATGCCAGAAGTGGTACAAAACTGATAGTGAAGACCATGGATCCTGATATGGAAGATAAAGTATGCCCTCATGTTTAGGGGAAAGATAGTACTAAACGCTACATAATAATAGAAGTACTTGAAAGCTTAGGACTCAAACTGGTATTCCAATATTTTTCTGGTAAATATGAATTATATAACTTAATATAATTCAGGATCCTTCTTTCTGTCAGACTTGCACAGACTCGAATAAAATGAATGAGGTGTACTAATATTTTATATTTCTATTTTTAAAAAATCAATTTCTCTCTTTCCAACAGAGTAACACTAAAAATGGATAGCATATACATGAACAATAAAAACAAAAATAACAACCTGTGAGTAATTTAAACCACTTTGTAAATATAAATTATAGCAAGGTTTAATTTGGACATTAAAAATAGGCCTTAACAAAAGAGAATGGACAATAAAGAAGTTTAGTTGCAAAGAATCAGAGGCTGATTCAAAAATAAAAATATTGAAATGCCAACAGAATTTAAATAATAGGGAAGATTATTCAACTCACTTCTTTCAGGTCATTCTATATAACAAAGCATTCCCAGATAACATGAGCTCATGCTTATATTACCAGGTATGCCCCAGAAACCAGTCGTATATGGAAAATATAAATGGGCAATTGCAGGCATATAGTTCATGAAACAACTGAAGTACCCTTCTGAACCCAACCCTTGAAACATTGATCACTGTGTCCTATAGATAGCTTGATGCTGTCATAAAGATACTCCTAATGGCATTTGAACCTAAATGTGACACCTAAAATGTGAACCTCAAAAAGACAATTTTGTTGAGATTATTCCTGAAGCAAAATGGAAATAGTCCTGAACATGGTCTTCCCTTTAAGCATACATATTTATTTGTTTGTTTGAATCCTATCTTTATTTATTACAAACAACCCAAGGTGCTGAATATATCCAATACTTCTTTCTCTATTTTTTCCACAACAACTCCATGAAGTTAGTTGGATTGAGAGAGAGTAACTGGCCCAATGCATCCAGCTGCCTTTCATGGCTAAGCCGGGACTTGAACTCATAGTCTCCCACTTTCTAAGCTGGCACCTTAAATGCTAGACTAAACTAGCTCAAATGATGTCAGGAGACCCCCAGAGCAACTGTAGAGAACCTTTATTAGGTTACGACACATCAACACTTCAAGCAGAAAGATTGGAGGATTGTTTTAAGGACTTTACAAAGCAGTACTTAGAATAATTTCATACAGCTCATGTATACTCAAAATATTTGGAAATTTCTATAATACAAGAGTATACAGGGAAACATTGAGAGAGAGAGAGATGTATGTTAGATTTTGAAATCCTCAAAATTATTTCAGATACACCGAATCATAACATGCCCCCCCTTTTGGTTAAATCTTATTTTTGAGGTATATATTTCATGTCAAGACTTACCTGAGTAAGTTGCTTCATGCTATATCTATTAGATATACAGCAGGGAGCACATTTGCATTAGTATTGAAATTTTCATTTGGGAACCATAACATTGGGTATCTGAATTAGAGCTGGCTGTGATTTTGCTAGTGCTGCTTTTTGCAAAAGCTATAAAATATATCTTTGCGAAAGTAATACTGCAAATATTTCAGTAAAAAAAAAAAGATTGAAGGAAGAACATATATTCTATAAATTACGTTATGAGGCATGTATGTTGTCTTGAGTATGTGCATCAGACCTAAAAATCAGCAGGAAGTGTCTGATACACAGGGGGGAAAAACCCTAAACAACATTGTAAACCAAGGATACAGAGAACGTTACCTATTAAGATAATTGGGATGATAGAAACAACTCTTAGAAATTAAACCCTAAAATGGAGTATGTTCTTAAAAAACAAATAAAAAATAAGAAATGTTGACTTTTTCATTTTTTCTCCCAGGGATTATTTATAGCCATCGTGTTTTAATTAGTGCATGGATATTTAAAAAAAATGTTTTGTATACTTTCTGAAAAATTGTTCCACAGCTTTTAATATATTTAAGCTTTATTAGCATGTAGCATTTGTGCTTCTTTTTCTTTTTCTTCTGCCATATCCCAGACTAACCTATCCCCTTCATTCTCTCTTTCTGAAGCAGGTTTCCTCTGTATCTCTATGTCTGGGACTTTACTACAACTTCTTTACCTGAACTTCTAAAGAAATATATTTTCTGACTAAACTAAAGTTTTATATGAGGGATGCATAATTGTAAGTACAAGTAGAGATGGGAGAGAATTTATTTGATCAATATGTAAAATGCATGTCCACAGGGTATAATTATAAAAACTAAAATGATGAATGCCATAGTGCAATTGAAACTCCACCTAGCTTTTATATGCATTGCACATGACTCCCATAAAACAGGTCAAATTTCAGTCGTACTGTTGGCGGTTGCCAATGAGGCAACCATTCTGACAACTGCTTTTTGACCAGAACTAAAGACCCTGCTGAATGTAAAATAAGTCCTTTCTGCCTCTGCCTTTTTTCACTGATGGCATATTTATTCCATTGGCACATGGCACTGTAGGTTTATCCTTACTCAACCATACTGAACTTTGTTTATTTATAAATACTACTTCATAGGCTGGCTCAAAAAATTTTCTCATGCATTTCCCCAACATGCAAGCATGATGATTCTACTAAGAAACCATGTCTCAAAAGTTGAGCACTTCCAATTGTCCCATATTCTGTAGGCCTCTTGTAAATCTTCAGGAGCAAAACCTTTGGAATTTGGAACATTTTTCAGTTGGTGCAAAATTTAGCTACACGTATAGCTATACAATCTATTTTTGGAGACTCATTCCAAGAGATTAATCAGCATGTGTAATGTTAGAGCTGTGACTTTTTCACAGTGAAGGAACATGTGGCTAAAAGTTTTTAATTGAGCTGGTATATCAGCATGTGGACTCATAATTATACTTGAGCATGAACATTTATAACATTACTGCAGCTTAATTGGTATCTAAGGTAGGCTGCCAATTTCTTACCTTGTTTAAACCATCCATACATAAGATATAGAATGAGAAGGAATATAACATTAGAAATATAACATAAAATTAAAAATGTTCATTCTCTTTCATGCCAGCTATCTTTTTCTGTGTCAGAATCTTCATGGTCTTTCTTTTTCTGGTTGTATGAATGATATTTGCAGTATTGCCATTTCAGAATGTACAGCCTTAACTTGTGACTTGTTATTTCTTTTCATTTTTTAGAAACCTTATGCTTGTCAGATTCCTGGCTGTACCAAACGATATACAGATCCAAGTTCTCTAAGAAAACATGTAAAGGCCCATTCTTCTAAAGATTTGCAAGCCAGAAAAAAGGTAACCTTCATAGACTTCTCTGCCAAGTGAATCATGTGCAGTTCTTAATGTCATATGAAAAGCACCTGTAATAACACAGCCATCAACAGAAAACAGTTTTCATTTGCACACTGATAATGATGAATAGAAAACTTACATTCTAGCAGAATAGTTTCTAGGCTGCATGCAATAGTATGTTGCATCTGGCAAACTGTAGCATCATTTTACAATTAATCTTCCCCCCTAAAATCTGCCATTGTCCATTTATAACTTTTCCTACTATATGTATATGTCTCACTGTGTGTAAATATATATATATATATAAATAATACCTTGTACACTATTTCCTCAAATACATACCTTCTTGTTCTTTTCCCCCTATCTATAATTGTTGTACTCATCTTTCCTAAAGATATATATATAATTTTTGAGTCAATATTTGAACAGACATTGGCAGACTCCATGAATTAGGCAATTGTTTTTGCCACATCAGATTCCATCATACCATTTCATTTCAAAAGAAATCCGTGACAAACCTCTTCAACATCCGCTTCCAATTCTATTCTACGACTGTAAAACAATGCATCCCTTATGTCTAAATAGTTATTTATTATTGCTTTAGACATGTGGTTCTGCTCTGTATATTGCATATTGTTTTCCTTAGAGGCTCATGTTAGTTTTTTACTATTCTGTAGCCTCTCAATCTACCAAAAAATGAAATGGGATGGGATAGAAGACTCAGCTTAACTTCAATTATTTATGATACTGTGCCTTCATTCTTGTTTTGCTTTTGCATTCTTTTAATCTTTCAGCTGGCATTCAGAATATATTTGCTGAGCAAAAAGAAAAAAGTATTCGTGTTAGTGATCAAAAGAGTGTGAAATATATTGACATTATAATGTGTAATATTAATAAGTTACAGTATACTTACATCTTAAAAAGTGACATTTACTTTGTGATACATTCTTTGAAATATTTCCTTGTATAATAATGAAAGGAATAATGAAAGTCAGAATTCAAGTTATTTATGTCTTTAATTAAAGAAAAAAAGTAGACTTAATGAAAAAAAAAATTTTTTTTTTTACAAAAATGAGAATTCATCAAAACCATAAAAATTCCAAGGTGATAAAAAGCTCAGAGAAGTAATAGATTCAGCCCTAGGGAGCCATTCAGCTGAACAGAATGAGATCCTTTGCTGTTACACCCAGTTAGTCATGGATTTGTTTAATTTATCCTGCTTGACTGCCTCTAATCCGCTTTCTTAACCTTCCCTTTGCCCATAAAATGGCATTATTTTCCTCTCTTTAAGATATAGCTTGTCCTTCAAAATGCCTCGAACATATTAGAAATTCAATGATATATGCCAAAACCCATGTTCTTACTTCAGGAAATCTTGGCAAGTCCTTAATGATAAACATGGCTATAGATTCCCGTACAGATGATTTCCAGAAATTGTGTCAGCATGTGGTTACGCTGATATTGCCAGTATCCTAGTGAATCATTATAGCATTTTGCTTTTCCTTCTGGGAATTCAGTTGAGCCTTTAGTAGAAATGTAGAATGAACTCTACATATCATGAATAGCTGCAACTAGTACAATGAGCGCATACCATATTCAAGGAGATTATAGAAAAGCTAATGAATTTTGTGTTTGCAGGTAATGTCTCTTCCCCATGGATGCATCTAAGAGCATTTTCAGTAGTGTGAAATATTTACTCCAGTTTTATAATTAGAAATTATAAGAAAAAATAGATGCTGTAAATAGGATACAGGCTTATTCAAAGGATGGTCAGCAATTGATTTTTCCTTGATCAACAGCATGTCTATGTCTGTCGGTCTGATTAAAAACATTGGCACTGCAGTCTCTTTTCTAGTGCATTGTGATGTTGCACTAAAGAATGCAACTTGTGGCATGAACTACAAATAACTGCGTCCTTCTCAAGTGAAACTGATTCTAACTGATCTTGTGCAAGATAACCTGCAAGCTAAATCCAGGTCTGTAGAAGACCAAAAAAAAAAATGGCCCCCAACAATGGCATTACTATTAGAGTCATTGTTTAGATCAGGGGTGTCCAACCTTGGTAACGTTAAGCCTGGAGGACTTCAACTCCCAGAATTCCCCAGCCAGCAAAGCTGGCTGG